TGTTTACAGAGTTGCTTTTTATTTAAAAAAAGAATATTATCCATGTTAAAAATCTGTTTTTCTTTACTTTAGTCTTGAATCCTCAGAAAAAGTACAATGGAAGATAAATAGACTTTTGCTATGTAAATTCCACAATATTTGTAAGGAATCTGTAGTTTTGTGTAATGCGAAAAAATTAAACATTAATCAGTGTAGAAGAAGCCTCTACATATATACGACTTTAACTCATAGGTCGTGTATGAAGTGAAGTAATAACCAAAAACTTGAGAAAACCTGTTTAAAGAACGTTTAATGCCAGTCCGCCTCAGCTTATATTTTCCATACAACTAGTTGTGATTCTGAAACTAGAAGACACAGTACTTTGAATAGCTACCTCTTAGTGTATCCTGTAGAGCCAGTTATAATTACTTACCATTGCTCTGGGAACTTAATTTTCTTTACTTGAGAACACCTACCAGTGTAGTTAAATAAAGGTGTAGTGAAAAATATGAACATATTGATATCAACTTTAAAAGCTTTGTTAGAGCTGACTCAATGTCCAGTATCGAAGGGATGAGCTTTTATTGAGTCGCGCATAGATTTATTGGGACATTTAAAAAACGAAGACTTGAGGTGTTCATAAATTCGATAATTAACTTGGCTGATCGTACGTTCTATGTAACTAGCTTCACACGGGCAGTTAAATTGGTAAATACACATGAGAGAGGAGAGACAGGGAAGTTTGTCTTTGTTTCTTGAACTAAGTATGGGTTAGTCAATTAACATAAAGCATAGCTTAGCTAAAGGTGAAAGTCTTTCCTCAGATATTTTGATGTGATCACGCTATAGACATTCCCTATGAATCGTAATCTTAGGAAGACTGATTTTTTGGAAACAGTCAGCACCCTATTCAAACACGCTTTGAAGCTATCAGCTTGGCTAAAATCTTTAGATGCTGAATACTTCAAACGACAGAAGCCATTGTAAATCACTTAAAACAACTAGAATTATGTGTATAAAAGAAGCAGATTCAGCCACTGTTGCTAGCCTTGCATGCTGTGAAACCTATAAATTGATAAATTCTGTGTTACTTTCTCCTATTTATCTAAGATTTAATTTAGTGATATATTAATATATATTAGGTCTTACTAATGCCTCTCAAATCCGATCTGTCGATACTAAAACATCATGTTATTATTAACAGTATTTCTTTTATTTTTACTGTCATATAAATGTAGAATCTGACGACCAAATTATCGTAAGGGTTATTTTCAGGAGGTTGGTTTGTAACAAATAGAGTTATTTGTACGAGTTTGACCACGGATTGGTATCAGTTGGAGAACCATTGAAAACCAGCAAGGAATACTGGAGAGCTGTTTTGTATCCTAGTTTCTGAATCATTGGCAGTACGCACCCACTGGGCGCTCGCTAGTGACTTCTCACAGAACGGAGTTTCCTGGAGTTCTAGTGAGAATTCGTGGCAACTGAGGTCCATCCAGTGAAGTGTGAGGATGGATTTCCCACCGATGACATTGGTTGGTAGTCACACTAAATCACGAATCGGTAGAAGTTAGAATTCATGCCCTGGGTAATGAATTGGGTCCCAGTGGCTGAATAGTATACGAGCCAGCTTGTCTTGTAACAGAAAGGTTTTGGGTTCGAACCCTGGTGGTGGTTGTGTACTTTAGATGAGTTGCACCTAGAATCGATGGAACAGCTGTGCAGTACTCATTGTTGGTTTTCAATGCATCTCTAACTGATATCAATCCATGGTTAAACTAGTATAACTAAAGATTATTATTTACTCATTAATCGGTCTTTTAAAAGTGAGATAGATAGTTCATAATCCGATTAAGATGACAAATCACACTTTATATTCGTTTCAGACAAAACAAAATAATTCAACATAATACTGACAAGGTATGCTTAGGATTCAAGGTGATCAGACAAATAAACAAAGGCTAGTACACATCACGAAAGCATCAGCTACTGTAGCTTTTTCAATGAAAAGGATATCAGTATCATTAAACATCAGGTGGTTATGTAGTCTTAACGAACTAAACCAAAAGGCTTTCAGATACCTCCAAGATCATACCAGTATGTCAACATTTTTAGGATGACTTTAAAGTGAATGGATACAAAAAGCTATATGCTTGTTCAATTCATTCAAAGTCGCAGTGAATTGTTTTCTTATTCTCAGGTATACAAGAATCTTGCTAGGCGGGAGGCAGTCAATAAAGGCTAGTTTTTCTCTGTTAAAACAAACGTTCCTAAGAAATAATTGTTCACTGTTCTATTGTATGATGAATATCCAAATAAAATTGGAGGTGTACAATGCAACTAACAGAAAACAAGAAAATTTACATAAATAAAAGTGTGTGACTATTAGCTTTGCAACACAAGTTAAGATTAATCTTAGCCACTATATATAAAAGCCACAAAAACCAAGTGGAACGGAATAACAGTAAATCTGAAAAAACAAATTATTCAAATTCTCAGAACAGCTTGGAAACAAGTGAAACTAATGACATATACTGAGCTTTTAAAAAGACAAAAAACGGTTTCTTGCTAAGGAATGCTACTTGACATAAAAGAAACTGAAATATAATAATGAGACTGTATTTCACAAGTCCGACCACGGACTGATTTTAGTTAGAGAACCTATGGTTTACCAGAGAGTACTGGAGAACCGCTTTATCCTAGTATGAAGCTTTTGGCCGTTTGCATCCATCGGGCTTCGAATCCAGGACCTCCAGGTTACAAGGCGAGCTCGTAGACCATTCAGTTACTTGGATCTGACTCAGTGGCCTATGAATTCTAATTTCTACCAATTGGTGGTTTTAGCCAAACCACCAGGAAATGTCGCTGGAGAGTATTTGCGCTTACCCCCAACAGGATGGACTCCAGTGGTCACGACTTCTGACTAGAACTCCAGGAAATTCGGTCCTGTAGCTAGTCACTTGCAAGTAGCAGATGAATTTTCAAGAATTGGTTTGGAAGGATTTGATTTGTCAATCAAGTTTGACCACGAAATGTTAACAGTTAGATAACGTGCTTTCCCTGTAACCGGGAGGTCCTGAGTTTGTTCCCCAGTGAATGCATACCGTCAATGAGTCCCGAGCTGAGATGAAGCAGCTATTCAGTACTCTCTGGTGTTCTAGAGGTTTTCTAACTGATATCAGTCCGTGATAAAACTTGAAAAAAAAATGAAATCTCTACATACCAACTCTTGAAAATAATTTCAACAAATGGGATTTCTGTGTGCCGTTTACGTCCCCACAATAGCAATATAGACATCCAACATGAATATTTATAGCATTTAAAGATTCAAGGCAAGCATCATATTAACTCAATACAGAATTCAAGGTGTATAAGTAAATGAAGGGAAATAAAACTAGTTCATTATAATCGGTAATTAACGTTGAAGGCATGATTCAGTATTTACAGACTGTTGTAATTCTCACAATAGTGGAAAAACATCCAGTCTCCATATATATCAAAACAGTGAAAGTATCAGGCATTTTATATACAAATCCTACTTATGCACAGAAGACCTACTTCAATGACGGGGAACCACGTTAATCAGAACAAAGCTGCATGTTCAAAACAATCCAGTGCATTTGATTATTCAGCAAGCTATTTTATCGTACAAGATAACTAATTGTAAGAAAAGTATCAGTCAACATACACGTGAAAACAAATTCAGTATACTTATTACTTTTTAGGGATTACCAACTTCCAGCAGGTCAACTACCAGTCAATCAGTAATTCAACACTCTATTAATGACAAGCATAAAATATTCACGCTACAAACCAAAGTCAAAAAAGTCTGCGACTGACGGACAAATCACTCATTTCAAGTCACCAACTATTCTGTACAAATATGCATTCAGCTATTAAAAACTTCGCCTTTTTTGCTAAGAGAGTACTGAAGAAGACACAACCTGGTTTAAATTAGATATCAAAGCTTTCAGAATAGCAAACAAAGTTGACAGTGGGTGTTAATCAAAACTGCATTCCATATTTAGTAGAACATAAACTTATTTATTTTAAAGTCTTCAAAACTAATTATCTGAAATAATTATCCAAGACTTTACGAAAAGTATTCAACAACATATTTTTCAAAAGGTTATGTCTCACTAAGGTACACTGTTTTGGTATGCGCTCATTTAAAACATAAAAGAACATATTTCAACCCTCCTTAAAAGTAGAAAATCGTTTATAAGTATTAAATAAGAAAGGCTTTCTCTTAATATTGTGGTTAATATAACCGCTAAAATGCATCGGTGGCTTAATTAATTGGTCACCGATCGCTCAAGTGGCCTGAGTTTGTTTCCCAGCTGACGCATTGAAAACTCTCAAATAAGTCAAACCATCGATCGTTTCGACATTTGTAAAATATACGTAGATGACACTTTTTTTATCTGCGATAACAACATAATTCTTGATGATGCCTTGTGTGCTTTCAACAACTGCCATCTTTCTTTACAATTCACGATAGAAAAGGAATCTGAGGCAAGTATTCTGTTTCTTGATGTGTGCCTTAGTAGAAGCAATTACGAATCTTTCAAAAGATCCATTTACCGGAAACGTTCATGGAACCGACAACTGACTAATTTTTACAGTTGGATGCTTATTTCCAGGAAAAGGAACCTAATGTGCGTCAGTGGCACAGTGGTTAGGACTCTCGCCGACCATGCACATGGTCCGGGATTCGATCCCTTGCCGACGCACACCTGATATCTATGGTCGGCCTGAAAAATTTTGGCTACCGATATCCATGCTGAAAATTCCATGCTTGTACAAAAAATGCAGTGTGGAATCAAGCTGTAATCAAAAATAAAATAAATAATTCATTCTCTCTGCTTTAGGATAAGAAACATTTGTGTCTCTAAGTGCGTTGACTCAGAACTTGAATTCCTAAAAGCCACACTTGCAGAAAATAGTTACTCGAACTAATTTATTGACAGTAACACCAAAGATAAGCACTCCAAACTGGCCACCGACTCAGTTCCAAAGAAAACTGTGTTCATGAACTTGGAATTCAAAGATGATCAAGCTTCAGATATGCTCAAAAACCGTCTCTCTAAATCAGTCTGTGAGACTTTCTTTGCAGCGAAATTACAAATGACGTTCACCAGCCGCAAGTTGTTCTCCATCTCTGTAGAAGATAAGCTCCCAATCTGGTCACTCCCGTGTATATCCACTAGCTCACCTGCTCTTGTGGAGCAAGCTACATTGGCCGTAGACACAGAACGCTTTCCACACGGATACGAAAACGTATTCCAGCACGGTTTTACAAGGGAGAAAGGAAGTGTGTGCGAAGCTCTATGATAGAACACCTGATAGACTCCTGTCATTCTGCCAACCCTGACCATGATTTTAAGATCACCTACAGAATCCATGCTAATTTGCCGCGTTTTCTTCGCTGGAGACTTCTAAAGACAGCAGAGGCTCTGGCAATTCATGACTTTAAGCCAGAACTTTGTGTACAAAAGGAGTATGTACAATCCCTACTTCTGCCTTGGCTATAGAGGGATATACATTTATTTATTTTGTTAATTTAGTTATTCTATTTGCCCTTCCCTTATTACTAAGATTATTATTGTTCTCACTCTGAATGGTTTCCGCTTGTCCTACTTGTCATTCCAAATCCAAAATTATTATTAATTTTTAATATATAGAATGTTGAATTCTATCTTATCAAATTTCACACCATTCTACGTAACATTATTTATTCGCCTACTAATCCTATGATTGTGCACCGCTTTCCAACTTCTATACACCTTATGAATTATTCTATATTTGCCCCCAGTTGTCTTGCCACCTGACATTTAAATATGATTATAATCACAAACATTTTTAATTTTAATTGCATTTCATACTTTTATTATTCCATGTATTCACTGGTTTGATCTAATTTCCTCACCGGGTATAATATCTTTATAAAACATATATATATATATACGATTGTACAGCTTGACAATAAATACGTTGACAAGAGTCTCTTCGCTGAATATTAGGTTCTTAATAAACTAATAAACCCCACATAGCCTGTAGTAAGTGTGGAAAAGACGGGAAGTTGATTATCAGGCCAGCAACAAAAACCATACCATATGATTTAAATAAGACAGAATTATTTTAAAGTTTTAGTATATTCATAATTCTAGTGAGTTGGAATTATAAATGAAAACATATCTGAACAATCTTGCTCTCTCTCTCTGATAACTGCCTTACAAAGAAAAAAGAATTATTCACTGGCAAAATTCACTATTCTCTGTGTAGCACCTAAAGTATTCGACAGATTTCGTTTATTTTATGAAATTTTGTACTGTTTTAGTCACTGCAAAGGGATATAATGAAATGAAAGGAAGAAAGTAAGGATTGTTTTAATTTGAGGCTTGTGAATCGACAATTACTCTGACCAAGAGTAAGTCAGAAGGTTTTTAATACTTTGAAATAAAGAAGCTAGTTGATAAAATGCGATTTTTGAAATTCAGAGAAACTGATTGAGGAAGACGGGAGAAGTGAATTGATAGTGAATTAACTTGGCAGCGTTGTTGGCAAGAATATAATTGACTTAGTGTCTGGGGTAAACAGAAGATTAAGGCTATATTGACCTATGTTATTATGCCGTACCATTGAAACATGTAGTGAAAACACTCAGAGTTTTGTACACAGTTAAAATACAAATAATCTGAAACATAGGCGTACTCTTAGATGTTATACTTGGAAAGAGACTGAAGGAAATTGACAGTAGTAAAATAAACCTTCGTGTAGATTATCTGAAGACAAGCAATGAAATTTCCTGTGTTCGGTCATACAATCCATCAGCTTAACACGTGCGAACTGACTTTAATAGCTAACTACAATGACGACTCCATCAAGCGTGCAAGACAAGAAGGGAAGATAATTTATAAAGATTCTTTACTGTCTTAATAGTATTGACGAATCTTCGCATTCTAGATGATTGTGGTCACCACTAAACATATTGACAAGTTTAAAGGACTAATAGTGATTGAGAGTTTAAGTTTTAGAGAAATTAAGAAATACAAGGGGCTGGATGGTGACTAACACTGGAATAGAGAATTCACGTTTCCTACTGCTCGGGACATTGTCAGTGGGATTTAATTACACTCCCCAACGAGTGTTGGTGTTTCCACTAAAACTTATTTTAAATGTTAAAGCGTTTGTTACCTACTAGACTACCTGGATCACAACAGAGATGAGAAGCTACCTCAAAAACTGGAAAAGGCGTACAAGTAACAATTTAAATCAAAATCGGCACATGTATGACTACAGGACTACTATAAAATATTATTAACTGCGTAACTAACACAGATGATTACTTACAGGATGTCATCATGAGCTGACATCGGTTAGAGAAGCATTGGAAAATCTTAGGGTGCTTGACAACTGTTTCATCCTAGTTTGGGACTGTTAAGCAGTCTACAATTCAAGGGCGATACTCCTGCGGAGATTCTACCGCAACGTTTAACCAGGCGATCAAGAAAACTTTCTGCTCTGCACATCTGTCCATGGTTTACCCAGCAGCTCAAAGATGTCTTACCTAACCTTAGCTCTTCTTCATGCATATACCATTTCAACTGTTCCTGTGGTTTCAGTTATATAGGGCGTTCAATTAGGCAGGTCTTCTACGGGTTCGAGAACGTTTAACAGCTTGGTTAATCAGGAGGCAAGTTAATTGCATTAAAAGCTCGATCCTGTCACACTTGGTCGATACTGGACATAGCATCTGCGTCGAAATAGCTTTCAGGCTTATACAAACGAATTTCAAAGTCGTTATCACGTACAGTTCGCTTACGTCTGCTAAACCGGAACTTTGTATCCAAAAAGAACACGTCCAGACGCTGTTCCTAACGTGGCCAAAGTTGGAATGATGATTTCCCCTTCTCACTAAGTGTTTTTCCCTCTGAACCCTCTTGTTTTTTTCCTTTCTTTGCTTATTCTTACAATTATTATTACCATTCGTCATAACTCATTAAATTGTTATATATAAACCCAGATTTTGTAGATTCTGATTTAATAATACCTTGATACAGATGCTGGTATTAAATAGCGAAAAGTTAGTAAAGACAATATCATTTTGTTTTCCATACATTTGGAAATACAAAATACCTTTATTATAATGAATTTATACCCCTTATTCAAACATTCTCTCAATACTATCGAATTTTCCATTTATAGTATCCGGACTTAATAGTCGTGACGTTATCTCTTTTCATTTCACACATTCGTTATTTCACTATGATCCTCTCATTGCAGTCTTACTGTCTCCCCTTTAATACACACCACTTTGTGCTCATCACTTAACTGACACCTTTTATGACCTTGAACTGACTTGTCAGTTTTCCTACCCCGCATCCTACGAACCTATTATGACTGTGTGCTAGAATGAGATCTACACAATTCATTCCTGGAGAAAATAAACTGTGTATCTCACAGAATCCAGTTTACTTCGGAAGCAGAATAAGACGTCGGTGAACCACAATTTCTAGGCTGCCTAGTTAAGAGAAAGGAAAACGGACATTTCAGTATATCCATATTCAGGAAGAAAACCCACTCCAATAAATATTTAGACTTCAAAACATCACACCCCATCAGTGCAAAGATTTCAGTTGTTTCAAGTCTTCTTAGATGAACACGTTCGCTGATAACGGATGAGAAAGAAAAAGAAGAAGAAATATCAAACATTACTGAAACTCTCAAGGAAAACAACTACCTAAAGAACTTCATCAACAAAACCAACACAGACATTAAGTATGGCCAAAAATGCATTCCGAAAACATGGACCTCAACAGTCGTCATTTCATATAGAGCGGAGACATCAGACAATACCAGAAGAGTACTCAATCAGCTAGATATTAGAGTTTTCTTCAAAACACCAGACACACTGCAAAGACCAAATCCCTAAAGATTCTCTATCTAATTGTGTCTATAAAATAAAATGCTTGGAATGTGATGCGATATACATCGGACAAACATCTCCAGAAGTCAAAATCAGAAAAAACGAACACCGTAGAGCATCTCTTCGACCACTGAGGAATCCGGTTGAACCAGAAAAACTTGAAAAATCATCAGCCACAGCTTGTCTACACTCCATAGAATCAGGCCACAAAATTGATTCTGACAATATTGAAATAATCCAGAAAAACTTCAGAAATCACAAAGAATGTCTAATATTAGAACTTCATATAAAGTAGAATTCAAATTGCATGAATAGGAATGATGGACTAAAAACAGAATCTGACCTGGTTACAACACTCTGTTTCCCCATGAAGTGACAAATTCAACATGAATGTGATAAGCAATATTATTTTATAAACACACGGTGCTTTTATAACTGTACACTTATCAAATCCAACAATCTACACCTGGTTTTGCTATCTTTATTGATTGGCCAATTTGACAACGCGAAAATAACCCCAAACTGAGGAATGAAGTTGGTATATATAAGCTTAGATTTTGTAAATTCTGGTTTAATAATACCTTGATAAACCTATTAGCACTAAATAGGGAAACGTCAGTAAAAAACAATATCGTTTTGTTTTTCATTCATTGGGAATTACATAAACCTTCATTATAATGAATATCATATACCCAATGCCCAAATTTTTTCAAACTGTTAAAAGTAAAACTTGGTCGGGACATATATAATCTGTCATTCTACATTTGAAAAAATGTATCCTCCGCATAACTGGCTCGCAATATTGTAACAACAGCAAACAAATATTATATGTTACACCTATAAGAACCTGAAGAAAAATTATTGAAAAGAATACTCTTCGTTCAGATGGATTGTTTAATACAGATGAATAATCCCAAGCAATTCTCTAAAAATAAACAATCTAACTCAAGGCCAGTAAAACAAACAATCCGTGTACAATTAACGAAAATATGAATTCAATGTACTATATGAATAATTTACTGAATCATGCATAAAATCAAATGAACAACAATAAAAAAGTTATTTTAATCAACATAGAAACACTGTTAATGAAATGTACTTTTACTTAAAGTCGTTTCCTTTCTCTCTCTCTCTCTGATTGTTTAAAGAAAAAGAGAATTAAATGGCGATAATTGTATTATTCAGCTTTTGTGCTAGAATTAAGACATATTCTATGTAAGTAGAAGAACCTACCAGCACGACTTCAAGTTGATAAGATCACTGAAAACAGTTTAAACAGTCTCATGTTAAGTATTCTACGGCATTCACAGAGAGAGCCACTATCCTGATTGTAATCACCTGTGTACTACTATTAGTTATTAGTTATTTTTGGAGTCTAAAATTCGGACATTTACAGTGAAGATGAAAGTTTTACAGTAATAACAGGTTTTCGTTGAACAGGCTAAACACAGTAATTGTCTTATAGCATATTAAATGTTTAAGAGGCATAGGCAGAAAGCTTTGAACGTGGGTTTCTGAACTTATTCTCACTTACCAGTGTCTGCAAGGAGTTTCTACAACCTTGAAGGAACTCATGTCCTGCCTTACCCAGAACTGTAGTTAGACATGGTGTCAATAAGATATTCGGTCTGACGACTGGTGACCTGTGGGAGTTCAATAGATGAACTGACTGGTTGCCAGGGTGCAAATTAATATCGTGCGTCTAGTTCTTTCAGCTATCATGGTGTACACTGAATTGATCTAAGGTTATGTGCCTGTTCATCACATTGCAAAGTTGATTGATAGAATTCAGTCTACGCCAAAATCAAAAGGCTAAGCATATGACATTAATTATTACCTGGTGACCAGTCAAAGTATCTTCTAGTGCCAATATATGTGTAAAACTTGGGCACTGTGGCAGTAAGTTTCGAAGTTTCAAAATCGTGTGATTATAATTGATATGATTATGAACAATAATAAATTTCGTTCGAAACGTTGTCATCCCGTGAATAATACTGTTTCCCACCGTATGATATACCTAATAAACAAACTAATGTGATGTAGTGTAGTGAGTATATCATGATATGAGTAAAAAGTAAGCCCATGGAGAGCATTCACGTTTGACATAATGTATTGGATAGATGAACAAAGACACAAGGATAAATGAAACGTAGTCATTCGCCTAACACTCTTCCTACTTATAACACCACTGAATACTGTGATAATATTTACTGAGACAATGCTCAAAGAACAAAATTTGGATTTTCAACACCGATACCAAGGCAATTCTCCTATATAGTTCAGAAATTTGACGACTTACGAAAAGCACTCTTAAGAAGCTGGAGACTTTTCACGATAGCTGACTTCACTGAATCCATATCTAAGATCAGATGGCAGGTCATAAAGCGTTAGCAGCAAAGAACTATTTTCAAGAACCAAGAACTCTCTAATCAACAAATAATAAGTAAATGGAGATGGAATGGACGCAGGCTGAGGAGTGTGAAATCAAATGTAAGGCCCTCGAGTGGAACTAAAATGAGAAACGACGAATTGGACGTTAGTCCAAGAATGACATGGACAAGATTCGATGGGGACCAGATGATAACCTATGGGCGATTGTAGGGCCAGACAAAGGGACTACCCAGAACGAGACAAAATGGAGATGTGTTGCTGAAGTCCTATATTGCACTAAGAACCCAAAGGAATAATGATGATTGATTCGTTTAAAAAATAGGACCATTAAGCGGAATATACAAAATACTTCAATTAAAACAATCATCCACTTGAGCTGAACTTGAATCCTACGAATAATTTGAATGGGTTGGTGTTTAAGTAACAATAATAATAATAATAAGAAGAAGAATTTGGATAGCGTTAGTAAAAGACACAGTTTACATGAAAAATGAAGTTACTATTTATGTAATTATATGACACACTTCAGAATTATTTCAACTCTTAGAGTGTTAAATACTCATTAGAATATAAATGGAGCACAGAATAAGAATACACTTAAAACTTGATTTCAATGACTGTATACCAATAGTGATTTTGGAAAAACATCTCAAGCAAAACTACTGTCCACAATCAACGAAAATAAAAGCAAATGAGCCTCTTCATTATTTCTTCTTATCAAATAATCAAGGAAAATCAGGTGTGTGAATGCAATAATTCGTTTGAAAAGTGGACAATGCAAAGTAAAATTCTAATGAAGTTTCTCTTTCCGAGATCCAAGAATAAGCAGATCAGATATTTTCAGTTGACTCAGCACATGAATACTAGACGATATAAAAAGTTCCAAACCGCATATACTGACCAGCAGAGTTCACCTGTTACTTAAACATGTCTTGTATGTATTTTTAACAAAAGACTATGAATTTAATTGGTGGACGGTGACTAGCAGCGGAATCCAGGATTTGCATTTCGTTCTATTTGGGACTCGTCATCCGGATGTACTTGCATTCCCCAGTGAGTGATGATATTCCCACAGAGGCTCGAACCCAAGGCCCATAGTTTCAAACACCAAAGCGTTATCTACTAGACCACTTGGGCCGCCTCGGTGGTAACATCATCATTCCCTGTGGAATGCAAGTGCATCTAGCCGACGAGTCCCAAATGGGGCGAAATGCGAATCCTGGATTCCACTGCTAGTCACTATCCACCAATCAACTTTAAATCACATTCCCCAGACATCATCGAAGCATCTGCACAAGAAGCCGACATGTCAAATAAGACCTAGCACTTCGGTCTAATCACCCGACGGGAAAATCTTAAATTGAATTAAATAAGAAGAAACTATTGTTTTTATCCTGTAAGTATATCTATTTTCTCTCAACGGCATTCTGTTTTCGCGCAACCACATGCCAGTGTCATCACCGAGTATTTGTCTTCACACTTGACATCTTCAGCTCGTGATCAAACTTTAAGTGAATTCGATACCTGTAGACTAACTCGTGAATATTATTCTACTGCTCACTAGTGCCTGGCTACAAAACGAATTTGCCTGGGGTTATAGTCAGAACTCATGACCAATGTGATGCATCATGTCGGTCATGCGGACAAGTACTCACTAATGGCATTGGCAGATGGTCAAGTCAAAATCAAGAATTAGTGGAATCTGAAATTCATGGACCACTGGATCGGATCCTAATAGATAAATGGTCAACAATAATGACTTTTAACCTGAAGGTCTTGGAGCCGGACTCCGGTGGCTGCAAATTGGGAAGAAACAGACATCCAGTGGTTCTATAACTGATGTCAACTAATGCTCAAGCTTGAAACAAACCAAATTCCTGCAAACCAACGTTTGAAGAATATATTTTCTTGGTAATCGCCTTTTTTGCAATAAATTATGTTATTTCAATTTCTCTCTGCTGCCTTTTCACCTTACCTTTTTTGAGAAACTTCAGTCGGATTACATATAAAAGTACAGCAGTATTTCTGTATTTTTTTTCTTAAATCACCGTTTCACTTCATCTGTATGCCATGGGCATTCCTCATTGTCACTAGAAGGTAAGGTTGAAATTGTAATATAACCAATAGTTTTCATTATTAAAGTTGCATACAGTTTACAGGATGTCAACGAAATAAAATGGATCTGTTTTATCCTGTTTTGTGATGTGTTACCATGGCTTAGTTGCAATACACAATTGCAATGGCTTTTAGCACTTAGCAGTGAATAGGATTTCTAGAACACTTTAAACAAATTTCCATAAGAAATGCACCTAAATGACAAAACTGAAGTCTGAAGACTGATATCCATTACCGATAAATTCTGAGGACATATGCATTTAATTGACAACTTACTGAAGTTAAGTCCTACTATTGCATTTATGGAGATCAGATTGACCTGGGTGAGAGATATTGCCTAGAGGGAAAATATGAGCTTGAATGTTGAATAACGACCATAATTGGGATCGGGATTAGGGCCACCAGATCTACAAAGAAATTCTTCATAATTGTTATTATTCATTCATTCTTTCATTCGTACATTCCCTGAATACTAAGTGGATCACAGGAGGGCTTCAGTGGTACATCTCTGACCCCCTTAGTTCTTAGCCATCATTGTCAAAGGGCGTAAAGACTGCCTAAAAGGTTTCCTTTGGTCATTCACGTGATATTCTACATTTCACTCTTTGGCGCCTAAACCCGTCGCTTCCCAACTGGGGTTCACTTGATGATCCCGCCTATTTTCCTAGTCATTTCATGGCTTTGAAAGAAAGGAATGTTAAGCATCAGGCTAACGACCACATCTCGTGTAAGAAAGCTCTTCAGTCACTATGGAAACTTTAAGGGACACAAAAATTAAGCTTTATTATTGGCAGTGTTATTAGAAGACGGAGACTATCTGAAAAATGTGATGTATTAGCGCTATACATTTCGAACAATCTGATCACACATTTACTTGTCAAGTCAATATATGTAGAAAGGTTAAATTAAACAAAGTGAGAGGAAACGGAATTAAGAATAATTAACACAAACGTTTGGTAATCCAATCAAATAAGGATTACCAAGGTAGGTTAAGAGTAATGACAAACTGTTGTGACAAGCTAATAGATGCAGGTGGCAGACTACCAAATTCGTCTATAGCTAAACATCTAATCGAGATGAACCATAAGATTGATGTTAACTCAGCCTTTGAGGTCATCTATAAAAACGGTCAAGGGCGTTTACTGAAATACGCTGAGGCTATAGCTATTCATAGACTTAAGCCCCCCTTGTGTATTCAAAAACAGTTTGTCATTACTCTTAACCTACCTTGGTAATCCTTATTTGATTGGATTACCAAACGTTTGTGTTAATTATTCTTAATTCCGTTTCCTCTCACTTTGTTTAATTTAACCTTTCTATATATATTGACTTGACAAGTAAATGTGTGATCAGATTGTTCGAAATGTATAGCGCTAATACATCACATTTTTCAGATAGTCTCCGTCTTCTAATAACACTATCAAAATTTATAAAAGGGACTAATTGTTTTAAATTTATTATTGGCCTTTAAGCTAAACTAAATTGCCGGTTTTCAATACACTTTCAGGATAGGAACAAATTCTAACAGTTTAGTAAATATTGATGTTACATGATAATGTGAGGATGTCTAGGTATTGCTTAAATAATGATTTGTCAGACTATTATTCTTAATCAGATTTCTAAAAGAAAGATCAGAGAACTTCACTCCAGGAATCAAACAAAGTTCAGCGGAAACGCCTTCAAACTGCGAACTATGAAAATACTGCCTCACTATAAAAGAATGCAAAACTATGTAAAGGTAGCTCAGAAAATACTGATCGGTGTATATAAGTATACGTAAACTGTTTAGTAGTGGACTTCCAGACAAAGACTAAACGATGGAAACCATCATTGAACGGTTTAGACCAGTGGAAGTAGGAAGCAGTCCTGAAAAAAGAAGTATCACTAACCTAGGAAACAAATTTTATTTCCACAGATTTTAATATTTTTGAGAACTTTATTTTTTATAAGAAAAAAGTAAAGCTATTGAAACTTTCATTCTTACCTTAAAAAGAATGTGAAATGGTGAATTCCAGGTGCATTCACTACAATTCATGTAAAGATGTTTTAAAATTTTCTGGCCAATTATTTCCATCATTCCCATTCTCATTTTCAAAAACCAATGTGTGCGGTTTCTTATTCACTGCACCGATTGGAGGTCTAGTGGAAATTGATCTTTTCTTATGCCTTCGATAACTGGATGAAGGGGATCGTCTAATTTCATGAAGCAATGATGGTGATGGATGTCCACTTGATAGACGACTTCTTGAACCGTAAAGCTGTCTCCGTTCTCTATCCCTTTGAGGAATACCAGCTGATACATTAGCCGAGGTGGAGCAAGATGTTGATGGTACAGATGGATATAAAGTCTGTGAGGAATATTTTATTCCTTTATTATAATATGGATGAGAATTCATAGGTTGATATTCCTTTCTAGTAGAATATGGTGTTGATTGGATTTGCTGACCAGATTCAACAGCAAATCCGTTGGATGAATAATCCCACTTTTCTTTACTATTGTTCCGATAAATCCTGTTAGACACTGATGATTTCTCATTGTTTCTATTCAGACCATTTCTCAACGACCCATTCCATGTGCTACTAGAATACGATGTTGACCGACCTAACAAGTATTGTTGACTTTGATTACTGTTGTCATAGTTATAGTTTTTATTTTTAGGATTTATATTACTGATTAGTAGAAATTGATCAGCATTTTGCAAATTCACTGTAGAATTATCTGGAAAAGAATTATGCCGAACATTTAATTTTGGATGAGATCCAGACAGATAGGTACCTGAGATAGTTGATATTAATAATGGATGGGTACTGGTTTCATAAAAACCATTATTACCAGTAACATCAGTACCTAGGAAATCTGGATGAAACTGACCGTAACTGGCTAATTTATTTGGATGAGATTTTGAATTTTTTTGAATTCTTCTTCGAATCCATATAACTAAGATGATAAAACCTATAAGTAGGATTATATTTACAATACCAAGTAAAATTAATCCACTTGTTAAATAACCAAGTGATGTTGTTTCTTTAACTAAATTATCTTGGTTTTTAGCAGTGAAAACTGTTGTAGTGTGATTTATTTGTTCACTGAAAGCTACTTCTTTATTAATATTATCGGGTTCATTGTTGGCGTTCTCATTTAACAGATCATCGTTATATTTTTCTGTTATAAATACTTCAAAATTGTTTTCAGTTGGAGATTCTGAACTAGAAATAGTTGACTGTATAAGGTTTGTGATTGTATTCGTTGGTATTGTAGAGTGTGTAACTGATTCTATGATTGTAGTCATAGTAGTTAACAAAGATGTAGACATAGTCGTTTCCGGTGTTGTTTGTAGTAAAGTAGTGGCAGTGGTTTCTTCTGTTGTTTGGAGAGTTGTTATTGGACTGGTAGCAGGAGACGTTGATGATTCAACTGTCACCGGTATGGAGGTGGTAATAATATTAGAATCAACAACCGCCTCATATGCGTCTGTTTTCCAACACTGGCCAGTATGATCAAATTTCAAATCGTTCACAGGATCTGCCTGATCAGCTTCAAGCTGACATTGATTATTGTACAAAATTTGCATGCCTGTCTCTTGTTTAACTGCTTGCGTTGTATTATACACAGACTTTGGTGATATATAATAGGATGGCATAAATGTTTTCATCGCTGAGTTAGGCTGATCACTAGAGTATTTTGTATCACATATAGGATGTTTACCATACCATAATCTACAGAAATAAAGATCAGGACAATGATTAAGCCGTAACTGCCAACTTTTCCATGGAAACCATAGGCGCTTAAATGATGAATTTTGATTTTCATAATCACAGAACAAAGAAAGACGAAAGTACGGTGGTATTTCTGTTGCACGAGACAATGAGTTTGATGAAAGAAATGCTTCATCAACAAAAGGTATGAAACTATCCTCATCCCAATTGAAAGGATTCCATAAACTTAAATGTGTCACATGTGATTTAGTCGGTAGATTGCCTAAATCATTACGTCCAAGCTTTTTAAAGTAGATAAATGATATAGTCAAATGAACTGGACTCAATGTCATCTTCAGGCTTGATCGTACAGTTTGAACAATCCACTCCAGTATACCCGGCTTCAGTTGTCCTATACGTAATCTTTTAATACCATTTCCATTAGAAAGATCTTCAGCACTTACAGTAGATGGTTGTAGAACAATACGCAAATCATATCCTTTACCATGTCGTTTAGATGGACGTGATTGACTAGCATCTGTACCTGGTGATGGTACTTGCCAAACATGACAATCAATAGTTGCATCTTTATCGGTGATTTCAGACAACTGTCGTTTACAGTCAAGCATCAACTCATTCGAAGGTGACTGGCGCTTAGCAAAACAATAAACATTTGGACATAAAGATTCACCAACTTCAAATGTTGAGTAATTAAATTCATTTCTATCATTCTGTCTTTCAAGATATCTAGATTTACGAGTAGGCTGGCGAAGATCATTCTGTGGCAGGGTAAATGGATCAGGTGATTGGAGATTTTGTGATGTAGGATGTTCTGCGACAGGAGGCTGTTGATATTCATGTGGTGCCTCTAGTTCATCGAATGTTAGTGGAAAAGTTAGTGTATCAATTATCGTAGGTTGGTCAATTTGATTAAAGTCATTCTGAGGATCTGAGTTTATCGTTGTTATAAAGATCAATAATACTAAATAACTAATTATATGCATTTGATTTAAGTGGACGTCAAATCATTGGTTATTAAATTATGTACATGAATTCATTTTCATTCTCTGCTGAAAGTTTGGATTTTTAGAAAAACTCCTAGAAAGAATTAATTCCGAAGACATTATTAATTTTTGAGATGAAAATTCACCTGGTTTCTGTTATATACTTTAGGAATTATTGAATTTATTTCAGCTGATTCTTTCCTAATGCAGACCAAATCATCAATTATTCTGATTGGTCAATGATGTAACTTGATTTTTATTGGTTACCTATTCTACCAATCAGTGAGATTCACCGGTGTAATTCATAACTCCAATGGTACAAAGTACTTTTAAGCATATTTTCAATGACATCTTGACTTCGATACAAATTAATACATGATTATTAAATTGATAACTCGAAATATCTAAGACCTTTGGTAATAAAAGGTATAAGATCTACAGGCAATAACTGCTTTATTCCGGACGGCAGCTAACTGTAAGTGCACGCGAGTGCATTTCGTTTCGATGATGATTAGATGGTTTAAACAATGCGGAATAGAAAACAGGTATGCCAGATGAAAATAATAAGTCTCTGAGTGACTCAAGTAGGCTTTCAATAGTCGCGATTGTGTGATTTAAATTTTTGCTTGATATAAGAATAAAACTTGTGCACTGTGGTAGAGTATAATTCCATTATGGGTTAATTTTTGTTTTGATAAAGTCTCACAGTGTTATACAGTAATGTTTACTGATGACGTTTCGAGCACAATTTATTGCTCATAATCATATCTAGGTATTCCTTGATAATGAGCAATAAATTGTACTCAAAACGTCATCAGTAAACATTACTGTATAACACTGTGAGACTTTATCAAAACATAAATTTTTGCTTGTCATTACTGATGGGAAGACGTAAAATTTAACGGAATAATTACAGCCACCAGATTTTTGATTAAAGATTCTATCAGATAAAATGTAATTTTCTATTTCGATCTCCTAAGCTGGTCAGAAAGCACATTCTAAATCTTTGATTCTCAGTAATGACACAGAGATCAGTCGAATATGAGATTTGATACAGTTCCACAGTAAGGCGATATGATATTACAGTAGACTTATCCAGAGGATATCTGGATATGCTAAGTAAAACAGAAAAAGAAGAGAAAGAGAAATTATAGTCATTCAAGCTTTATTCTATTTCACGACTGCATTTATAAATGAATGAACAGATTTGTGGTTAATGTTGTCGATATTGATGGAGTTTTGTCCTAAAAGGTGATGGGCCCATTTCCGAATATTTCGTAATCTTTCTAGACAACTTCTTCAAGACAAGTCAAATATGGAGTAGATTTTGATTGGAAGGTAGTAACTAGTGTGTTGTGTTTAGTCCTTTCTTAGGTGCAGACCGAATTCTAGCAGTCAGGTTTGCAATGTGGCCGCTATTCTAGGTAGCTCACCATCACTGTGCACATTGATCTGATGATATTAGATGGTGGAAGGCAAACAGCAGGAAGCCCTGGACCTAGGTTTCGTGCTAGTTGACACTCACCGGCAAATAATAATGTCATCAAATCAATGTGCACCGTGATGGCAAGCTACCTAGAGTGGTGGCCACATTGCAAACCTGACTGATAGAATTCTGTCTGTACCAAAGAAAGGATTAGACATGTCACACTAGTTACTAGTGCACAAACAAAGTATCCAGCACAGTCCTACAGGAGGTCAATCGCGAGCCCGAATAGCCCAGTGGTAACGTCACTGACTGTGTCACTGTGTGACGCGGGTTCAAATCTCGGCAGGGACATGAGTTCTTTGAAGTTTGCAGCTAAGCCTTGCTGACGACTGCCAACTAGTATGAGTCCTAGGTTCAAAGCTCCCTGTCGATCACCTAGAACTACCTAATAAACTAGATTTGTTTGAAATCTTTCTGAATGATATAGTTACTTTTCTTCGAGTTGACTGTGATCTATCCCACCATAAATGAAGAATCTTTCTGAAATGACAGTTACAATACCGGAAATATGCGGAATAGATATATCACATAAACGAACACAGTTGTTCCGCTCAATATCATACAGATCGAAACGTCTAGGAATAGGAGAAGACAAGATAAATAGCACCCACAAAATAATTTGCATCAACCGTGAAAAATACTGCATAAGGTAAAGTGGACGTCTCGTTGGAATTCGAATCCAAGAACATAAACTAACTGTCAAACGACACAACATGTATAACTTCACATCTGATGCGTGAAGACAATTATGGACATCAGTGTGACTTGGAAATTAAGAAATCTTAGAAAAAGTAAACACCAATAATGTCAGGTAGTTACCCGCATCTTGGTACACAAATGAACCTGCGATCAGTAGATACGTTAAGGTAGATCGAATTTTATAACTGGTCGAGAATAAGTCGCATTACAGAAGAAATCAAATACCAAGTCAATAAAAATGTCACTTACGGATCCAAATCGACAACTAATCACAACGAAAATCATCAGCAGGAAGAATTAAGCCATTCATGGGGAATTCAGATAAGCTCACTTCATAGTGAATTCTGTGTTAAAGATATTGTCTTGAAAGACGGTGAAACCTTTGTAATGACACCACCTAGCACAGACAAGACACATGCAGCAGTATTAACATAGTTAGATGAGCTTCATGCACACCCAACGTTCACACTGAAACTGTTAAAGCACACGTTGATGCAGTATTCTTTATGCGTATACTGATGACATTTTGAGCGCAAAGCAATTAGTTCCTTTTATGAATCCTAGCAGAATAGAAGTTAGACATGATTTGTCTGGAAATAAGATATTTGCGTGAAAACATTTTGAACATTCTGACTACACACGTATCTGTCAAATACATTTACATAAGAGGTGACAAATTATAACCCATCAAAACTGAGTCCGTTTAAGTCAGAGTGTCTACAGTTCACGAATACAGATAGTAAAATGAGGTGAAAGTATTTCTAGGCAGAATAAACCTTGGTTTCAAAACCGAATTACCAAGACAGGTCAATAGTAACGACGAATAATTTTTGACCATAAAATACAAGTATAAGCCTTTTTATAGGTAAGGATTCGAAGAATTTATCCCTATTAATCCAACTTTCCTGGAATGTAGATCTAAAAACACGACTGATATCAACTTTATTACCTGTCTCTATAATGTACTTTTGCGACAAGTGATGTTGGGCATCTACATCTAGAGTCTGTCGAATCAACCTATTTCAGTAATTCTTGCAGCCAATTAAGAATGTATTCTGTTGCCCTGACCTGCAGAGGTCGATAGGTCCACTCATATAAGTTAATTGCTAAACGCAGTTGGATTTGACATCACCTTTGTTAAGTAGGCAGAATTTGACAATCAGCCTTGAACAGTGAATTCATATATAAAATATTTTGATGGACTGATAAGGCCGTTAAAACTTGTTGTTTTGTGCTTCTATAGAGGTTAAAGAATTTCAGAAGAATTTAGCTCAGTGAAGTGACTGACTCAAAAAAGATGGAAAAACTAGAAAAAACTTGGAAATTGAAGAACATACACCAATACACAGTTAAAAAATGGGGTTGGACAGAGCTGCAGTTTCAAAAGTAATGTAGTTAGGTGAATGAAATCAGTTACCGAGTTTTATCTATCTAGTCTACTCCCAACATGTGTAGTAAAGAAGACTCAATGCCGATATCAATCAAACTAAAATCCCTACAAAATTAATATCTGAAAATTGATCTGATGCACACTACCACTGGCTTTACTCAGAAGTTAACCTGGGCTTCCAGTGATAAGCCATGATCAGTAGGGCACAGAAGGTTAAAGATGAGGCAGTGACTCATCGAAGAAGACATTGCAAAGTGATCGCGCTATGTCATGAATTTGTAGAAGTTAGAATTCATGGGCTGGCATTGAATCGGGTCCCAGTGACTTAATGTCTACGAGCTCGCTAGTCTTGTAACCAGAAAGTCCTGGGTTCTAACCCTCGCGGTAGGTGGATACTGATTAAGGGTCCCACACTAGGCTTACGAAACAGCTGTTCAGTACTCCCTTGTTTTTCAGTGATTCTCTAACTGATGTCAACTAATGTCAACTGATGTCCAACTAATAAAACAAAAAATTCCTATCAAACCAATAACTGAAAATATTACTACGAGTAAAATAAAACTGTACCAAATCGTGGAACTACATAGAAAATCTATAAATTACGTGGGTATGATTACAAACAGTAGATTTTGTTCGAAATATCACCAGTAAATAATACCGTATCACTGTGTTTCTATCAAATGAAATCATTTTATAGAGTAAGTAATTCGAATGATTAGTTCCGAAGAGTAATCAGCATACATTTTATGGCAATGAGCCGAATTAAACAGATATTGAGTGTAGAAGAACTTAAATTTAATTTCCTTCGACTGTTCTACTGACACAATGATTCTAAGAAGCGATTCAATTCATTCTAAGAATTTAAACATTTCATTCTATGGAAACTTTAACAGTGATCATACAGCTATGAGATGAAGACTGATGTGTCAAAAATTTGTGGAGGCTAAAAAATATCAAATTATATTGTGGTGAGAGCTGACTGCTAGCCAAAGTTGGTAGACAGCAATTTACGTCAATGTTTATGTCTCTAATATTGGTCGTGAGAAAAGTGAGAACAAAGACTTTGCGTAGGCAGATACAGTTAACATATAGATGATCTGACATTCAAGAAACAGTCACAAAGAGATGCGAGGTTAACTTTCTGTGAGAAACAACCAATCAGAAGACTGTGTTTGTCTGCTAACAATAATCTTTAATAATGTATATGAAAATCTATAAATATGTGTTGATATCCTTAATAAAGGATCTGTTTCCTGGCCCTTGTCTTCTGTTGTTGCAATATGTTCATTGTAAATTAGTAAAAATAATGAATTAACTGTATATCATGATTGTTAATTTATATTAAATAAGGACACCACCTAATTCACCGCTCAGTACGGACAACACAACTTCCCTCTCCACCTTCTCGCTTTTGACTATTGCCTATCATATCTGGTCCGTACCTGATCCGTATATCCACTTTCGAATCCTTTGCTTCAGTCTAATTTTCTTTCCGCGAGTACCCTACAGCTGTTGGCATACTCTTACTTGAAGTGAGAAACTAAATGTATACCAATAAAGGACTACTTCATCACTAGAATTC